CAACATTCTGATTTGTTTTTTGGCTTATGTCTAAATTGGCCTTAGTATGTGTTTGCATGCAAGATAGGTAAAATAGATTGTAAGCTCCTCGAGGACAGGAGCTGATGTGAATGTACAGCAATTAACGTGCAGTACTATATCATCACCTGTAATAAATTTAGGAGGGCGATAGATTTTATTTTTTCATTAAACAATAACAACAATAAACTTTCTAGCTGCAAGAGAAAAAATCTAGAAATGGTGACCTTTTTGAGGATTTCATCTTTCTTTAAAGATATCTTATTAGTCTTTGTTAAATGTTTTACTTAATTCTGCAAGACTATTATATTATTATTATTATTATTATTATTATTATGCAGTATTTATAAAGCACAGATAGTTCGCTCAGCGCTGTACATTACAAAGGGGGACAGAACATGTGACAGAACAATACCAATACAATGCAAAACATGAGGGGATTGAGGGTCCTGCTCTTTTGAGCTTACAATCTAGGAGGGAGGGGATAGTGGTACAGGAGGAGATAGCTGTGGGGGATGGAGTGGTAGGAAGAGTGGAGGAGGTCGGCAAGTTAGCAGGGGGTGGGGTAGGCTTCCCTGAAGAGATGGGTTTTCAGGGTGCGCCTAAAGGAGAGGAGAGTAGGTGATAATCTGATGGGTAGGGGCAGGGAGTTCCAGAGGATGGGTGACACCCTGGAGAAGTCCTGGAGGCGGGCATGGGAGGAGGAGAGACCAGGGAACTAGAGAGAAGGAGGTCTTGTGAGGAGCGGAGTGTGCGCGTTGGGCGGTACTTGGATATTAGGTCAGTGATGTAGTTCGGGGCAGTATGGTGGACAGCTTTGTACGTCAGTGTTAGGATTTTGAATTTGATCCGTTGTGCAATCGGAAGCCAGTGGAGGGATTGGCAGAGGGGGTGGCGGAGATGGAGCGGTTGGAAAGGTGAATGAGTCTGGCAGCCGTGTTCAGGATGGACTGAAGCGGGGATAGCCTGTGGCGAGGCAGGCCAGTGAGGAGGGAGTTGCAGTAATCTAGTGTTGCATTACTGAAAATCCAAAGTTGTCCTTAGTCTGAGTATAACTGGATCTTATGTGTTTTATTTTCCTTCAGTATATACTGAAGTAGAAACCAGAATTGAAGCACTGAGGAAATTACTTTTGGATAAACTGTTGGAAACACCTTCCACTCTACATGACCAGAAACGCTACATCAGGTAAAAAGCATTTACTGTGCCTTTCTTTAGGTTCGAAAAGCCTAGGACTTATTCGATTGCAAGACACATCAGGATTGTTATCTGTATAGGTATTGTTGTAGATATTTGTATTGTTCATCCATAGCTTCCAATAAAATGAGTACATTTGGAAATTTAGGAAGATAATGTTTTGATATTGCATAAAGCACCTAAAACATGTCCTAAAAAAAAACCCTGAAAAACCCCTAGTCCAGAGTCATGTTTCATGATACTGCTAGAATAATACTGTGTGCACAAATGCACAATACATGTGGGTGTGTTCCTACCTAGCTATCATGTTTGAAGAACGCAAAATACTACATATCAGTAAACCTTGTTCCAGTCATGAAGCATGGCAGAAATAATACATTATGTTAAGCTACTATGCTTTTTTTGGAACTGGGCAGCTTGCAGTCATTGAGGCTCTGAAGAATTGCAATTTTTCTACCAGGTTCCCTTGCCAGTGATCCAATTTGGCCATACAGTACCTCCCTGGTCCAAAACAGAGGGGTGGATCAGGAAAGAAGTGGCACAGAGTGCAGTAATTATGTATTTTAGAATGATAAAATTTCAGTTCAATCAGGCCTCCTTCACATGGCCAGGTTGTGGTGGCCGCCAGATTCCTGCGGTAAAAATGCGTATTCTTGCTGCTGGAATGACTGGGTTATGTGATCAGCAGTGGCTACTCAACCCATTTAAATGAATGGTGGCTACTCAAACCAATTTAAACTAATGTCTGACTGACAGCGATGGCTGCAAAGTGAATGCTGAAAGGCCACATACAGAGTAAATATGAGATGCAGCGGTACTGGGACAGATGTCCGACCCCTGCTAAGTAATGGCCCATCAAAATGTTCAAAATGTTCATAAATTGCAATGGCATAAATATCTCCAATGAGAGTGTTCTTGCTACACATGCATTCACCAGTGGGCCACTTCCGTGACCAGCCCGCCCGAAATGAGTTAGTTTAAATGGGCTGATTGCCATTTGAATACTGTTCGCATAACCTGGTCATTCATCAGCAGCATCCAAGAAATCCTAACCACAGGATCTCCAGATGTCAGGGGGTGTTGCCATGTGGAATCCAGCACTCGCAAACAAACCTTGTCTGTGTGAAGGAGAGGATCCAATAGTGTAGTACTTTTATTAGCCACAAGAGTAAGAGAACAAAACAGTAGATATGCTACTCACTGAAGTAAGCACTGTGTATGGGGAATACCAGGAATCATCAAAAGAAGGCAACCGGCCGTCCACAGGGGCCGTTGCTGTGTGATGTCACAGGAGTATGAGGCAACCAAAATAACGCGTTTCGTCGCTTGCTGCCTCATATGACCACAACTGTCTTCTAATTGCTGTGCAGGTCTCATCAGCAGCTACAGGAAAGCATTTGGTTGAATCTGTCTTCTTACTACTAAATTCAAGGGCTCACATGTTTTTTCTGTTGGTGACCTTCATGTAAACCTGTCAAAACATAGAGAATTCAAATTGAGCATATAATGGAAAAGTGCATAAGCAGAGGAGTAGATTTAGAGATAAACGGCAGCTAAAATTATGTGTATCTTAAAGTGATAGCAAAGGGAATTTATTATTTAAAAAAAAAAAAACAAATATGTCATAATTACTTGCTGTGTGCAGTGGTTTTGCCCAGAGCAGCCCCGATCCTCCTCGGGTTCCCCACCAGCACTCTTGGCCCCTCCCTCCTGTTGAGTGCCCCCAGAGCAAGCAGCTTGCTATGGGTGCACCCAAGCAGACTCACTCCCAAGCCGCTGCTCTGCATGTCCATTCACACACAGAGTGTGGCTTGGCCCAGAGGGAGCTCAGTTAAGTGTTGGGGGGCTGCTGCACACATAAGGTTTTTTACCTTCATGCGTAGAATGCATGAAGGTAAAAACCCTTGAGCCTTTACAACCGCTTTAACTTTACCTGTAAAAGGCAGGGGAAGAGGATCGTGGAAGCCATGTGCAAATTCATTGTATAACATAGTATAACTTGTTTGTTATTTTAAAAAAAAAACAAATCCTTCTAGAATCACTTTAAAGTGATGCTAAAGCTTCTTTTTTGATAAAATAACAAACATGTCATACTCACCTGCTCTGTGCAGTAGTTTTGCACACAGCTACCCTGATCCTCTTCTTTTCAGGTCCCCTGCTGGCGCTCCTGGCTCCTCACCCTCGAGCAGTGCCCCCAGAGAAAGCTGCTTGCCCTGGGGGCACCGCTGCTTGCACACTCCCAAGATTTGTTGCAAAGTTGTACACGTCTGTCGCAGGCTGATAATGACCACTTGGCCATAGCAGGCTGAAAACGTTACGTATTATAGATCTTGTTCTCAGGCTTCAACTTTCAGCAAGCCTGTCATTGATTTTATACAGATTGAGCAGCTGCAGCTGATAGCAAACACCAATCTGTACCCATCACAGCTTGCAGGGTGCAAAAACTTGTTGTGCACAACTACTCTTTGATAAGCTGAAGCAGCAGTGAATAAGGAACGTAAGGCATGTGCAGATCTTCAAGCTCATCCTCTATAGGGTGCTTGAAGACCTGTGCAGGTCCGCCCTGCTGCTTGCCTGTTATTCATTTGAACAGAACACCCGTGCGTCTTGCATTGGTGAAGACAGCCTTTTGCATGAATATATGGATCAATACACCCATTTGAATGAGGCCTATAGGATTAAAGATTGATTTCATGAATTGTCTGGAATTGCTGTTTAAGTTGCTTGATAGGCAAGGCATACATAGCAGAGAACCTTGACACCCAATCTGGAACTAGTCTGTTTATAGCATATTTTTATGTTTTAATTAAACTGTTTGCCTAGCTTTCCAGACTGCTTAAAGCGCAACTAAAGTCTTTTTGCGAGCAGACAGGCTGTTTATTGCAGAACAGACATGATGTCTCTTCTGCAATAACATATAACTGCTTCTGCAATAACTGTGCATGCACTGCTAAGTATACATTCTGGCACCGTACCTGTGTACCAGGAAGACTGAACTCCTGCACATGCGTGGGAATTGCGTCATCCCATGCCAGCCAATCGAGAATGCTGGAAACCAGCAGCCACCACATCTATAAACTGGTAAGATGCAATATTTAATTCTTTTTTGCGGTTTAAATACACTTTAAAAATAACCCGAGACAGCAAGACTTGCTGACCTTTGATCCCCCATTCTATTTTTGCAGATATCTGTCCGAACTCCATGCTCCAGGTGACCCAGCTTGGCAGTGTATTGGTGCACAGCATAAATGGATTGTTCAGCTTATGCACAACTGTAAAGATGGCTATGTGAAAGAAATAAAAAGTAAGTATGGAAATCTCACCCAACCCAAACCTAGTATGACAGTTTTTGACAGATGACGAAGAGTTAAATGAACAGTTTTAATATCTATTAGGTACTTTTGGTTGTGAAATGTTTTCTCTTTAGTTCACAGAACTGTGCTTCTGTGGCCATAACAGGGGCTTAAACTTTCCGGCTTTGAAATGTAATTTGTTTTACATTATGTAGAATGGAACAAGAGGAGTGGGGAAACCAAGTGGGGCAGATACAGAGCGAAAAAAATCGACATCTTGAGTAAAAAGCCAGAGAATGGCTTGGCCTACCAAAGTCAACATATAATTGTAAAATACCTTAGATGGTTGACACCTTTAACCGCCTACCACCCGCCATATAGTCCAATGACGGGCGCAAGGTGGTTCTCTTGTTCTTGGAGGACGTCATATGACATCCTCCCATTCTAACCGCGCATGCACGGCTCTTGGAGTGCGGCGATCGGCGGTGCGCTGTGTCCCTCGGACATAGCGGATCACCGATCAACGGAAAGAGCCGAAGATGTCGGCTCGGTCATGTGATCAGCTGTGTCCAATCACAGCTGATCACATGTAAATAGGGAAATGTCGGTTATTGGCATTTCTCTCCTCACGAGCTGTCACGCTGACAGCTCGAGAGGAGGGGAGAGCCGGTAACCGGCATTCCTCGGAGGGGACATGTACACTGATCATCAGAGTAGCCCCAGCAGAGCCACCTGTCTGTCCATCAGTGCCAGCTTTCAGTGCTCATCCATACCACCTGCCAGTACCCATCAGTGCCACATTTCAGTGCCTACCAGTGCACATCAATGCCACATATCAGTGCCCATCTGAGCTGCCTTTCAGTGTCACCCATCAGTGCCAGTGCCTCAGTGCCGCCTATCAGTGCTGCCTATCAGTGCCCATTAGTGCTGCCTATCAGTGCCGCCTACTAGTGCCAGTCAGTGCCACCTAACAGTGCCAGTCAGTGCCGCCTATCAGTGCCCGTCAGTGCTGCCTATCAGTGCCAGTCAGTGCTGCCTATCAGTGCCGTATATGAGTACTGCCTTTCAGTGCCCATCAGTGATGCCTGTCAATGCCCATCAGTGCCTCCTCATCAGTGCCCATCAATGCCACCTATCAGTGTCCATCAGTGCAGCCTATCAGTGCCCATCACTACAGCCTCATTATCGCACATCAGAGAAGGAGTAAAATCACTTATTTACAAAATGTTATAACAAAAACTAAGAAAAAACTTTTTTTTCAAAATTTTCAGTGGTTTTTGGTTTGTTTAAGAAAAAATAAAAACCCCAGAGATGATTAAATACCACCAAAATAAAGCTCTTATCTGTCTCAAAAAAATTATAAAAATGTCATATGGGTACAGTGTTGCATGACCACGCAATTGTCATTCAAAGTGTGACAGCACTGAAAGCTGGAAATTGGCCTGGGCAGGAAGGGGGTATAAGTGCCTGTAGGCTAGTGGTTAAAAGGTATTTCTAGGTTCACCTATGTAGGCTAAAAAAACCAACTCCCTTATGACCTCCACTCTGTAATGAATTTTCGTGGAGGACAGACACAGCTGTATGCGTGTATTTATGTGTGTACACATACTGTATATAATGTGGCAGTGCTGTACCCTGCCATGGTATAAAATGTTAGAGTTAATGAGCCAGGATTGTCATCCAGGCAAGTCGAGGAGTTCCAGGGAACTTGTGTTATTCAGAGGATACTGACTTTTCAGTTTCCTCGTCAGTTAGTAAAACCTGTTTTGGGACCTGGAGCCCAAAGATTTCATAGAGATCTGGGAAGGATGGGAGCCGAGGGAGCAAGGGGCTACTAAGTGTATGGCTGAAATGTTTGTCAGAGGGTTTGAAGAGTAACCACAGTGATGTAAGTGTAAGGGCTCATGTACACTGCAGCTCCTAAACTGACTTTCAGGAGCTGTTCAGCGTTTTTTTCAGTAGCCCCTGAACTCACCCTTATCTTTTCCTGTGTCCATGTACACATAGTCGTTTACAGGCAGTTGAGTTTACAGTCATTTTTTTTTAACGCACCAAACTTGCGTTCAAGAGTAGATTTTACCAGCGTTTCAAATGCCAAACGCTTGTAAAAGTGTGTAAACGCGGTTAACTGTGTTTAAAGCGTTTGCATTTAGAAGCGTTTTTTTAACTGTTCCATGTCCAGATGCTCTCCAGAGCCTCTTTTCATCATCAGAAATGCATGCAAAGCGTTTTCCATGTAGTCAAATGGACCCGGTACACCAGCGCAGTCAGTTCCAGGTTTCACGTGAAGGAAAAAATGGTAGAACGTGCCGCATTATGCTCATGATGGGATCCATAGTGAATACAACCAGAAAAGACAGGTCATCTCAACACATACTGTTATCTCTGCTTCTGTTCTCTCTGCTTCTGCTCTCTCCATTCCTCTCATGTCTGAAATAGTAAATTGTTTACTATTTTTCAGTGCATTCTGGGCATTTGGGAAGGTCTCCTGAGGTTATCTTTTAAAAATGCTTTTAAATGCAAACGCACATAAACCTGGTATGCAAATGCGGCTAAACTGCCGTTTTTAACGTATGTTTTCCAGCAGTCGGTTTCCATCGCTCAGAAGTGTTTTCCAAAAGCCCTGTGTACATGAGCCCTAAGCCAGGAGGCTGATGACCCAAAACCTCTGCAAGGGAAAAATATTGTTTTTGATTGACAGAACTTTGTTTGAAAACTCTTTTATTTGAATTAGCCAAGAAAAGTCTTTAAAAAAAAAAAAAAGAATTCAGAGAGTGTCTCTGTAAAGTTCCACCAAATGAAGCTAGTTCTCACACAAAAAAAAAAAAAATATATATATATATATATATATATCCTTTCCTTCTACTCTTCTACTGTCAGTTCCTGTTAAAGTCCACATTCATCTTTTAAACCCCCTATGACTGTACCTGTTCCCTTACCATAATTTCTCATGTCCCTCGCTGCATTTTGGTACACTCCACAACCTAACCTGTAGTGTAGTGGTTTTGTGCCTATAACTTCTTCTGTCTTCCATGCTGTCACCTCCAATCTTGTCTTGTCCATGCTCCTTTCCTACTCTCCTGCTCATCTCCCCTGCTTGCCTGGGCTGCTGTTCCTGTCTGCACAGTGCAAATACAACTCCATCTTTCTCTGCCACTAATACCATTCCTTACTGTCTCTTCCATGACCTCATTTCCATCCCTATGCACTGCACCCCTGTTTTATCCTCTCACCCTCCACCCCTCTTCCTATCCCCCACACCTGTGTCTCTTCTCCTTTCCTGCCTGCATAATGCTCAGAACATTCCTTTTACCCCTCATGCTCTCAGTTCCTGATTTCCATTCTCTACCATCTTCTTTATATTTGTTCCCCATTACCTACCCAGTTTACTTTGACATTAATTCCTTTTAATCCCACTTCTACGTTTCTTCTGCCAGTATTTGCCAGATGACTTCTCTGTCTTACAAAGGTATGGTGCAGGAACATCGGTATCAATAGAAAATAGTAGGTCATTCTTAAAGTGGAACTTTAGTCAAAGAATGGAATCCTACTAGATCACTGGCCCCTTTTGTGATATAGCCAGGGGTGGACTGACCATTTGGAAACTCGGGCACTTCCCAAGGGCCCGGGGTCAGTAGGGTGCCCCATGAGATGTCCCTGGTACCTTTTTCATAGGCTTTTTTTGAGTTTGGGCAAGGACACAGGGGCCCCACGATCCCCTATTGCCCGGGGGGCCCATGAGTTGTCAGTCCGCCCCTGGGTATAGCTATGTAAAACATTAAAGATAATGCCTATGCTGTTTAAAATCCAGTAATACACTGCCTCACCCTGCTCTGCACATGCTCAGTTGCTCTCTATTTTTTGACACTGTGCCAAAAGTGAAGAGGCCGATCTGCTAACAGCCTAAAGATTTACTGCTGCTCGGGGGTTCTGGGCTTCAGCAAAATGGCGGCCTCCGGCAAGAAGAAATGGGGGCAATGCCAAAGGCACACACTAATTTTGGCAGCATAATCCTTAATGTGGAATATTTGTTTCTTGCTAAAGAACATTATTTTTTTATCAAGTTGTTATGGGTAAAGCGCCTGTTTAAATCACATTCATCATTAAGCATACCTTAATTTTCACATTTTTTTAATGAATTATAATGCAATGGGACTGTAGTTAAGATAATTCTGAGCTGTGATTTGTATTGTAAACTCATTTTTAGAGGTTTAACAGTCTTTAAAAATGTTTCAACACTTGATTAATTAATACTTGATAATTTTGATAATCATATTTTATATGTTTACAAATAACATACCTACAGGATTGAGCAAAAAGAAGAAAGTTAAACAGTTTCATTTACAACTGTTACAATACTCAAATTCACGATGGAGATGTCTAATGTCAGATCGCAAGTCATTGGACAAGTTAGGGCATGTTAACCTGCTGTATAATCTAGTAAATCTTTGCTGTCATCTCGTCCTGACATGTATGCTGTGCAGTCTGTGTTAGCATTCATGTTGAAGATATGGGCACACAATTCCCTAAGCATCTCTTATCTCTATCCTCTTACTTATATTGGACAGTGCAGTGATGGATAGCAGAGGTTAGAGCAGCACAGTAATAATCTCAGACAGTGCTTGGCTCTGTGCAATGCAGAAAAAGAACTGTGCCATTTTGTACAGTCTGTGTGTGTCCATGGATCGGGTGAAATTCCCCAAATTACAGAAAAACCTATGGTGGTCTGGGAAGGAGAACAAAGACTACAAGAGTTTAGAAGTCAGTCTGTTCAAACAAACAAAAGTACAATCAGGATGATAGTTGCAGGCTCAAGCTAACGTAGGGAAAGAAACCACTTAAAGTGTAATTATTTAAAGGAGAGTTTTTTGACCGTTTGATTAAAATAAGGAATCTGTTTCACTGCTTTGTTTGTTTTCCTGTTACATTTTTCTAAAATGTGGAGAATACAAAGTCTGAAATTCAGGCTTTCAAGGTGTTGTACACTATACTACAGTGGGGATCGAAAGTTTGGGCACCCCAGCTAAAAAGTTGTATTAATGTGCATAAAGAAGCCAAGAAAAGATGGAAAAATCTCCAAAAGGCATCAAATTACAGATTAGACATTCTTATAATATGTCAACAAAAGTTAGATTTTATTTCCATCATTTACACTTTCAAAATAACAGAAAACAAAAAAATGGCGTCTGCAAAAGTTTGGGCACCCTGCAGAATTTATAGCATGCACTGCCCCCTTTGCCAAGCTGAGACCTGCCAGTGTCATGGATTGTTCTCAATCATCTGGGAAGACCAGGTGATGTCAATCTCAAAGGTTTTAAATGCCCAGACTCATCTGACCTTGCCCCAACAATCAGCACCATGGGTTCTTCTAAGCAGTTGTCTAGAAAACTGAAACTGAAAATAGTTGGCGCTCACAAAGCTGGAGAAGGCTATAAGAAGATAGCAAAGCGTTTTCAGATGTCAATATCCTCTGTTCGGAATGTCATTAAGAAATGGCAGTCATCAGGAACAGTGGAAGTTAAAGCAAGATCTGGAAGACCAAGAAAAATATCAGACAGAACAGCTTGCAGGATTGTGAGAAAAACAATTCAAAACCCACGTTTGACTGCACGATCCCTCCAGAAAGATCTGGCAGACACTGGAGTTGTGGTACACTATTCCACTATAAAGAGATACTTATACAAATATGGTCTTCATGGAAGAGTCATCAGAAGAAAATCTCTTCTACGTCCTCACCACAAAAATCATCGTTTGAACTTTGCAAATGAACATATAGACAAGCCTGATGCATTTTGGAAACAAGTTCTGTGGACCGATGAGGTTAAAATTGAACTTTTTGGCCGGAATGACCAAAGGTACGTTTGGAGAAGAAGGGGCACAGAATTTAATGAAAAGAACCTCTGT